TGTAAACAAATTCATTAAAGGTCACTGTTAAAAATACGTTTAATATAAGAATAAATGGGGCAATATTTTTATATAACTCTAATCTAATCTAATCGACATGCTAGTCATATGCTTATATACCTTCACGACCATTAATGCTTATGCTGATATTGATATTATGGATAATATGACAAGTTCCGGTATCTCATTTATACCAGTCTATATAGAGTATTCATAAGGGGGTGAATTTCACTCCGGTTCCATTTAGTTGTAGGCTGCTTTTGGCAAGAGTCTTGTTGCTGCATTATATTTTCCAAGCAAGTATATTAAGGATGTTAATATTTATTATTTTATTTAATTTTGTATATTTTATTTTATTTTAATATATATACTTATATAAAAATTTTTAAATTAATTAATTTTCTTTTTTGATATGATGATATATATTTTATTAGGTTTTATAACAATATATATATTTTTTTAATTTTTCTAAAATAGCTACAGGGCATTTTTTGGTCGAGTATTCGTATTCGATTTTATTGATTTTGTTGTATATTTTTATTTTTTCTGGCTTTGCATTTGGCATTTGCTATAAGATTCCCTTGGGTCATCTGCCTTGGCCGAGCATTTTATTTGATTATTAAATTATATTTTTGTGTCGAGACTGCGGTTCCCATTTCGTAACTTCTTTCCTTATCTGGCAATTCCTTTATGTCCTACTCTTTGCACTTTGCTGTTTGCCGTGCGGTTCATTAAATATTGCTACGCAATTTTGAGCTTGTTATTCTTGCACTTCTTGGCTGGAAACATCAAAAAGCGCGTGAAAAGTTTGGCTCAACAGCGGAAAATATATTGCTTGAAAATTGCACTCAACTTATATTTTTTTCCAGATATTTTTCATGTGCTTTTGCTTTTATTTCTTTTTCAGTTTTTTTTCCCCCGTTGCTTTGACAATTGTTTTGCGCTAACGAAGTCGCTTTGTTTTCCGCTGTTGTTGTTGTTGCTGTGTTTTTTCTCTCACTCTCCGTGTGTCTCTCTCTCTGTCTCTTACTCGTTTTGTTACAACTTTTCAATTGTTTGGCTTCTGTCATTACCTTTGACACGGCTTTGGCAACTTGCTGTTGCCTTTTGACTGTCGCCGTCTTTTGTCTTTCGCGCTTTTGTGGGCCCCGAGCCCTTTGATCTGCCGCTGCCGCTGCCACAGCCACAGCCACAGCCACTGCGTGTTGCATTTCTATTAATTGTGCTGATGGTTTGCGATATGATGATGTGCTATGCGATGAGTGCTGCAAGCTGCAACAATAGCGGCTTTGCCATGCACCCCGCCTTCCTATTAAAACGAGAGTGCAAAGAATTTGTTTGCCTGCAGCAAACAATTTGCTCTTAAATTTGATTGTGAACGCGAAGTGCTAGAATGAGAATCAATCCGATTCATGTTTGAGCAGACATAAAAAGAAATGATTTTTATATATAAATTATTTTAGAATATTTTAAAACTTTAAATTTCATTTAAGAACATCTCAATTAACATTTGACATACATAACGATAGCTGCAACAGAGACACACATACACACACACACACATGCAAAGCCAAAAGGAACACGCATGCAACTTGACCTTGACCCAAATGCTATGTAGCCCTATTCTTTGCTAACAAAGGATTGAGTTGCTCTGCTGCTCGACCCTAATTCAGGTTTGAGTGCATATGTGTAGAAACGTGCCACAAGTTGCAGTTGCAGTTGCAGCATATGCAACAGTTGACAGCACGACCTTGAGCTTATTTAGCGGCACTTGAGCTCAAGCAGCTGCCATTGCATATGAAATGCTACCCGCCTAGGGTCTCCCATGTCCTTTGCTAAAGTTGAGTTTGCTTAGTTATCGCCGGCTTAAAGTTGCGCCCCAAAGAAGCTGAAACTGAAGAAGAAATTGCTTCCACTTAATAAAGCACACTAATGATGACCGCAGAACCAAATGAAATGCACTTGAGCACGTAGCAAGCAGCATGAGACCACTTCAGCTTTCCGCTTTGTTTGCAGTATTTATATAATACTACTTATCAAAAAAAAAAGAAAGAGGAAGAAAAATAAGCAAAAAGGTACTCTAATTTATTTTTAATAATGTCTTTCAAGCATTTGCGTCTGTAAATATGGCTTTCGTGTACTTTCAATTACGTGCCTGATGTTCAAGACTTTGATGCTGCTCGATTTATGGACATAGGCTCAATCTAGTTATCAACTAGATGGTATTCAATCAAATATTTGCTCAGCAGAAATATGAAATGGCAAGGAGGAGGAAATACTTGTATCTGTGGAGGAACAACATGTGATTACTATTGACACTTGAGTCTGTGTAATACACCCTACGTTATATGCAGCGTTGGAAAAAAAATCGGATAACAATGTTCGTTGTAGTCGACTGCATGATACTCGCTCAAGGTTTACAAAAATGTATATGAAAATCTATATCATTGAATTTGCCTTATCGAATTTTTTTCCAAGCCGAAATAATTTGACAATATATTTATCTTAATCTGTGGATATTGACTGTGGATTATAGCTAAAAATAATACTAAAAATTTTTGATATAATGCATAATAATTATAAATTATAATAATATAAAATTAATAATTAATAAAAAAAATAATAAGAAAAATTAATAATAAATAATATTAAAAATAAAAATTTTAAAATTTATCCAAAAATATATAAGAATATATAGAAGCTATTTTCATAGCTCAATCCATATGTGAATCAGGTTAAGCTATAGAAAGGCAGGCAATCTAAGTTAGTTCCTGATTTGCCATGCCTCATAAAATTATATTATTCTCATTCCCCTAAGATTAATTTCAAGTCCCATTCGTATATGCTATACTTTTTTACAGTACCTCAAAAATAAAAATTTTTCTCTTTACCAAAAGATACTCATATAATTAGGATTCTATAATCAGAAGAGGGATATATTTAATTTAATAAAATATGATATATTCCATTTCAATTTCGCATTTATTTACACTGATCAACAAATAGAAACGCAAACATTTTACAAAGCCAATATACTCTTTTCACTATTTAAACGGGTATATTTATATATATAAAAAAAAGAACCTGAACATGTAAAAAATATAAACTGTTTATTTATGGGTCACCTTACCCCCAGCTGGGCACACACACATGCACTTAGGGTCTGCTTTCACCAGTTTAGAAAAAAAATAAATAAAAAAAGGGTTGCCACCCGTCATCATCATCATGGCATGGCATATGAGCTCTGGTATCATGTGTGTGTCTGTGCAAATGCAAACACAAGTGCAAAATCTCGAGGGAACATTTGATTGAATTCAGACAGTTAACCGCCTCTAATGCGCATTTCTTGGCTTCGTGTATTTGATTTTTTGTTCGTTTCGGGAATCCATAATCCCCATTGGTTATCTGCGTAAAAATATCAAATTTTTTAAAACCATCTTCAGGGCAGTTGATTTAGCAAATGCTATTTGTTTTTTTTCCTTTGGCTATGATTGATATTATTATTGATGCTATTGATTGATGGAGTTTAAAATCTGTACGGGGTTTTAGAAAATTAAAAAATCAGCTTTGCAACTGCCCTGTAATACTCTAGTATTTGCATTGAACAGTAGCGGGCGGGACTTTTTATTATTATTATTATTTTTTTTTTTTCACTCTTCATCTCCTTCTCTTTCCTTTGCTTTCTGTTATCCTGCCCCGAAGGCCTTTTATCAGCCGCCACGCGACATTTTTCCGCATCGATTGTGCGTTTGGTTTTTGGCGGAGTTGGAAGCAGATGAGCGAGGCGGGCATTGTCTGCCAACTTGCTTTGATCTATGCCATCTACTTACGGCTCTATGCAATTTGAATACCGCAGCGAAGGTGGCAGACCATTGTCAATGGCATATGAATGAACGCTGTGCAAGTTATTAGCATTGATGAAAGTAGAATTAAGCAGCGATGAACTTGAATGCAGAGATTTAGCAATCAATGGAGTACTGAGTCTACTTAAAGGCCATATTAAGCAATTGAGATTTAGGAATGGAGGTATAATCAGTTTTGAGAGATTTATTAAAAACGACCAATCGTATATTGAATTACATTAACTAATCGAGTAACTTGGCATAAAGCTTATAGTATGAAAATAAGGCAATTCTGTGTTTTAGACTAAATCAGTTTAAAGTCAACAGCTGTAAGGCTATGCAGCCTAAAGAGCTTTAAAAACAGAATTTTTATTAATATTAAGTGAAATAAAACGAGGACATCAGTAAGTGATCTATCTTCTAATGATATTGATATAGATAATGGAAAAACTTGTTAGGTGAGAGATCAAGGCAATTTTGTGATTGCGTGATCTTTTTTGATGTTATGCTGTTTTGTTATAAATAATTATATTAAAATATTTGATGTAAGTAGAATAAATATTTGATTCAAATATATCTTTGATTATAAATATTTACGTGGAATCATTTCAATGAAATGAGCTATTGTAACGTTATTCAGTCTAGGTGAACTCTAAACTAGGTAAACTCATATTACTCATATAATGAAACGATAACGAATAATATTTCTAAGCTTCAAAATTGATCAGTAATATTACGTTTCCCTACAAACAGAATTCTTTTTTCAAACGTAAATGGAATCTGTAGACCTTAAAAATATTAATTATCTCTAGTGTATAAAATTATTAAAGCGCGTTACCTCTCTCTCTCTGACCTCTCTTACAGTTTCTACCAAGTCTCAATCTCATCCTCTAGTAGTTGCTGTAATAGTAGTATTTTTAATAGAAGTTTTTCTAGTCTGTTTCATATTTTTCAATATATATATTTTTAAACAAATAAAATAAAATACACATTATGTTTTCAAATTTGTTTTAATTAATTTAATTTTTATTATGAATATATTTAATGTATATAATTACTTTATGCTTAAAATTAATTTACAATAGTTAATATATTTTTTAAATATTTTTTGTTTTTCTTTTACCATTTGGCTGTTTGTTGTTTGTGTTAAGATCTCTATTGTTTTCTTGTACTGTGTTCATGCTCGTGACACGAAAATGTATTTACTGTAGTTTGTCTTTGCTTGAAATACGCGTAGTCTTAGTTATATTGCTTATGTTAATGGACCTAGAAATGAAATGGACACACATATACACATACATGAACATCGATTACACTTAACAGCAAAATAATTATACAAAAATATATTTATATATATATATGTGTATATATATATTTTTTTATAATATTTGCATAACTAGTTTAAGAAGCCAACTACCTAAGAGTGAAATCGATGCGATTTGTTTGTAAATAGACACCAAGAGAGTTTTTTTTTTTTTTAATATTTTCTTCTTTTTTTTGTTTTGTAAAAGTTTGTAATTTATATATATAAACTTATGAACTATTATCTATATATAAACTGTTACACATCTATTAGTAGAAAAATTGGACTTAAGCTTAGGTTCGTATCTGTGTCTGAAAACTAGCTGCTGCTGCTGCTTGCACTGGGCCGACCATTCTGCTGTAACTTAATTCAATAAAATTAAACTAGAAAAATATTCATTTCATTTCATTTCACATAATATCTGAATTAATTTTGATGCTTAAATAACTTTACCAAAACAGTGAGCACTTAAAATACAATTTTTAGCAAAATTATTTATCACATTTGCGCTTATCCAAACATTTCAAATCAGCCTTCAAAAACACAAATTGTTTACTTTCTCGAGCGACGGCAAAACTCAGATTGACTTGTTCCAGAAAATTAAAACGATATACAAAACTATGAAATTTCTTTTTTTCAGTTTTTGTTTTCCTTGAATTTTTGTGATTTTTGCGAATCGTTCACATAAATTTTCTCTCCCATCCATTCTCTCTCTTTCTTTGTCTCTCCCTGTTTAGCTTAGGGAGCGCTAGTTCTCACCAACGAAAAGTAATCACAAGTTGCGCTTAGGAGCCATCAGAGGCCTCGTTTTGAGTGGGGCCTTGAATTCGTCGTCGTTCTCGTTCTCGTTCTTGTTCTCTTTAGTCAAGCTTTACTGCGCTTGCGGCTGTATTTGCACTGTGGCCGTCAGCTTTGTGGTTTTGCCCGGCTGCTGTTGCTTCTTCTGCTGCAGATAGAATTGTTTCAGCACCTTGCACATGGCTAATGCTAACATTTTCCAAACAAGCAACTGCTCCTCTGTGCTGGGCGGCATCTCATTGTTGTCGGTGGATGTGGCTTGTGTGTTACTTGTTGCTGCCGATGCCGATGCGGATGCGGATGCAGATGGCGCTTCGTAGTCCACCTGATCGTAGCCGTTCGCATCATTGCTGCTATAGCTGAGCGGCGGGCCGTCCACCTGATCAGCGTCGGTAATTTGGCTGGCGTCCAGGTTGGCTGCCGTCGCCGTTTCCGGCTCGTCCTCGTAAAACGGTATGGCCATATCGCAATGGATTACGTAAAAATTCACTCTTGTCGTTGCTTTCACTATTCACTACTTCCTGCTGCTGCTGACTGCTGTGTTACGCACTCGGGGCTAGCTGGCGTTCGACTGACTCGCACGGCGTCTGTGTCTGCGTTTTTATACCCGGGAAATGCCTTCGACACTCGCAGCAGCAACAAGCCGCACGAAGGGACAACAACCCACCACCATGGCCCTAGCCCAATGCCAGGCGCCCACCCCACAGCATAGCACACGAAGAGAGAGCGAGCGAGCGAGTGAGTGTGCTTTATGCTCACGTGCATTTCCGTAAGGACTCTCTCTCTCTCTCTTTCTCTCTCTTCTTCTGTCTTTCGTGAGCTGCTCACGCTCTCTGCTCAGTGACTGCTGCATGTGCCGTTATGTCAGCTACTTTTCAACTTCTCGGCGGTATCACGTGCTGTAAATGTTCGCGCTTTACTTCACACTTGTGGCATGTTACGTTTACGTAGAACGTAATGCGTTACGTAGTTTGCATAATTCCCCTGTTTCGAGTTTGCTATGAGGGGTAGTTGCCCTCACCCGACGTTCGAAGGTTCGAAATGTCTGTCTGCATTCGAATTCGAGTTGGTTTGCTTCGATTTTCATTTCGTGCGTGTGCCGGGAGGGGCTGTTGCTTATTCGACATTCGAACAGTTCGAACTGGGGAACTTTATTTGGCTCGAATTTGCCTTTGCCTATGCTTGCGTCTTGTGTATTTCCTTTGGCTGTGCGTCCTTGACCAAATTCCTTTATCTTTGTCTTCAGGCTCAACTATGCAAACAACGTGAGCTCTGAGCTAGAAATGTTTCATATGTGCAAGATTTTGATGTTCATAATAAAGGATTCTATAAATATTTTATATAAATATATTTTTATTTGAATATTTTTATTTTTTAGATATGTTATCAAACAGGTATTCTATCTATATTTTAAATATTTTTTTTTTTTTACAACTTTTATATATATTTTAGTATCATCTATATTTTAATAATTTTCTTAAATATACTTTAGGCTTTTTTTTAATAATTTATTATTTATATTACTATTTTGTATTTATTTTAATTACTTCTACTATTTAAATCCCTTTAATATCCGATTTTACCTGAAATATGTCAGATAAAAGCTTTTCATACTTCTGAGATGTTCTTGAAATAAATTTCTCTTTATATTTTTAATATAATTTAATTTTTTATTTATTTTTGTTGTTGTTGCTATGTAAGTATTTTTGTAATCTTTCTTTAATATGTCTTAAAGTCTGTCCTCTTCATCCTTTGGCTTATTCAATTTCAAGTTTTACATATTTTTACAACCGCAAAACAATCAGGCAGCATTTCCACGCCACATAACACGAATATTTTATGATAAAAAGGAGTGCTGACTTTTGCTACTGCTTCTGCTTCTTCTTCCCCTTATTCTTTTTCTTAGTGTTCCATTCAACTCTGGTGTGGTATACACCACGCCCTAACCAAATCAATTCCACAAATCAACATAATCAACTTCTCGCCGTAAGACCACACATAATGCACTTGCACTGAATTTTCTTTTCTTTTGCTTTGCCAAAAGAAAATAAGTGCCGTAAAAAAATGTAAAAACTTTTTTTTATAGTTGTTGGTGCTGCATAAAAAAAATGTAAAATAAAATGCGGCGAAATGGCTGCAAAACTCTAAAGGTACAACAAAAGAGAATGACTCTAAGAAAAGGGTCAACAAAGGGCACGCCAGCTGGGCAGGAGACCAGAGCTCCTGATAATGACATTAGACATTTGCCGGTCCAACCTCAAAATCCAAATCAAAATCCATGATCTAATTTGATGAAACCTACAACAGATTTTCCTACATCTGGTATCACTTACCTGAATATAGAGACAAAATGAGGAAGAGAGAGAGAGAGAGAGAGAGAGCAGGAGGAGGAGAAGGAGTTGGAAGCAATACAAATAGCTGGCGAAAAAGGAATGCAGAAATTCTCAAAAGCAAAACAAAGAAGAAATTGTTTTCGCTTAAAAGAACATTCAAATGGAAATGTTCTGCTTGGCTCAACACAAACAACAAGTGCAGGCAAACAAACTGCATTTATTTAGTTAACAACAAAAAAAAAAAAGAAGCAAAAAAGAAAAATATACAGTAAAGAAAAGAATACACCATTTGAGTAGCTCGATAGAACGTCAGACATACAGACAATGCATAAAAGTGAAGTGCGCCCTGGCGCACTGTGGAGGTGCAGCAAGTGGAATACAAGTGCCCTCAAAGACTCACAGGTAGATTGACGTACTCGGAATACTCTGCAATTATATGTATATGTATACAAATTGGTAAAGCGGATTGAGCTGTGGGCGAAGCAGAATAAGACGTATTAAGAGCGATAATTTACTTTTGTGGATTATTATATCTGAATGACCTTTAGACGTTTGAAAATTTAAATCCACGAATCTTACATTTGTGATCCTTGAATCTACAATTTGAATTTCTGCAGTTATGTTTGAAATAATGAGAATGTCTAAAGGGCCAACTTTTAATTAGAATTCTTGTAAAGTGAATACCCTCCTATGTGAAAATGAGTTATTTATAATTTTAAGCCGAAGGCCCCTGCTGCCAGTGCTTTGCCTTTAGTTTGATTTGATTTTAACTTGTTAATAAATAAATAAAAAAAATAATTTATAATTTCTTTGAGCTATCAGTGTTATAAAAGTATGCGATATACGTAATAATCTTCAACATTGCCAGAGTTCTTTGAATCACTCACATTATATTAAATCACAGAAATGTTAGATTGGGTTAAAGATATAAAAACTAAACTTGCTGAGCTCTCGGGAAATAATTTGATATTAAACACATATTAAATGCTTCAACTAATATTTGATATAAATATGCTATAAGAAGGAATTAGATTATATATATCAATAATATATTAGCAAAATAATTAAATCTTGAAGCTCTGTCTTTATTTCAGTATTTATATCATTGAGTCTTAATGCGAGGTTTACTCTAAGCGATGTCTTTAGATAGAGCTTAAATATCACTGTCAAAATGTTAATTTTTCTTTATGCTTCTGCTATAGTAAACCTCATAGCTTAAACCATATACCTCTTCAGCACACTCTTATGTTTTATAGTGTATGTTTGGAAAAGAAAAAAGTGTAGCATAAAAAGCAGCGTCGCCGTCGTCGTCGTCGTCGTCGCCTGGCGCACTTTGTTGCCTTCTGGCTGTCAGATTGATATTAAATTATATACCTTATTATCATTTCGCTGCTCCTGCTGCTGCTGCAGTTACTGTTACTATGCTATCAAGTAACACATGTGGGCGTGGCAGTAGCTAAAGCCATGTTTATTTACAGCTGGCAACAATTGTTGCTGCATTGTCGAACGAATGCACTTCGCGGTGTTCGCAACTCAAGTCAAAGTCAACACAACACACACACATACACCCACACACACACACAGACATGAAGACACTTCACATGTGGCTGCTGCTTGGTTGCATTTGTTGTGTAAATTGTTGTTATTTTTCAACAGGCAAACAACAACAACAACAATAACAGACAACAACAGGAGCTACGTCCTCATAATATGCTTGATGGCTGCGCGCGCCCAAGTGACATTAAATGGCTGCCATTCGGTTTGAGTTTGAGCTGCAGTTGGGTTTTGGCTAAGGGTTTCAGCATCGCCTGGCTGCGCACATAAAAGTGGCTCAAGTGGCCGGCAGTGGCTTTAAGGCCAAAGCTGAAAGCATTTTAAAGCCCAATATAAAACAGCTATAGATATATATACATATATATATTTAGTTATTTACGTTTATGCACGCTTTTACAATGGTTATCAAAATAAATTGGAAATAACGTATCTGCTCGATATCATATAAATGGGATTAAAGCTTTGATTATTTTTGTATTTTATTTGCACTTTGTTTATGGCCAGAAGACAGAAGAAGAAGCTGCCATTTAAGCCCTTAAAAAATCCTTTATTGTAAATAGTTTATATGCTTAGCTATAACTTGAGATAGTCTGAGAGCATGTTAATTCCTGCTCGGCAACCAAAAATGCGACCGCTAATTAACAAATTGATTTATGGAAATTAAAATGACAAATCTCCCGGGGGGATCTACATAGATCAGGGGCTAAAAATAAAACTCATATGCAAATTTGAACAGAAAGCTGCAACCCTTCAGAGTTGGCCAAAAACTTGACTTGGCTTTTGCACATAATCCTCCACCAGTGCGCGATGCTTACAGACATTTAATTAAGGTGTCTTCATGGCAACAACAATAACAACAACAACAACAACAACAACTAGCTGATTCGAGTGGTAAATGAGTCTAATTAATAACGAAGCATTTGCCACATAATTCATGCGAATTGCCATTGCTGATGAGGCTGCTATTCAAAACTTTTGGTTACTGTTTGTGGGTTGAGTAATCATTTTTAAAGCCGTCTGTCAGCTTGTCCAAATTGAGTTGGGCATTCGGCATTGCGGATTTGTTGTAGCTGTAGAATTTTTCCACTTTTGGCCACATTTGGTCAGGCATGCATTTTTTTCCGATTTTTCTTGTGTTTAGCCATTTTTGGTGCTCGGCTGATGACTTAAGTCCGGCTGTCTGGCCAGCGAAAATTTATGGCCTAGACGATATGTTTTTCCGTTTTTTGTCTGTTTTTTGTTTTCCTCTGGTCTGTAATTTATGCAAATTGTTGCGAGGCAAGCGCAATTAATTGTTCTGGGCGGCAGTTCAATCATATCCTTAATCCCATAGGTCTTCGTCTGTGATGTGATGTGATCTGATGTGTGTTCGTCTATTGTTTTCTTACGCTCTTTCAGACAATGTCTTTTGTTGTCTTTGGGGTTTCATTATAATCGAATTTGGGCGATAAACTTTACAATGTCCGTTTCCTTGACTCGTAATTTACATGTCCTGGGCAGGTTTTTGGCCGTAACCAAAACTAAATAAACATTTTTGTGTGACCAGCCCGAACGATGGCAGGAGCAGCAACAAAACATCAAAAGCATATAATTTATGGTTCGTTAGGTCAAGGATTCTGAATGAGAGGCAGCAGCAGCAGCAGCAGCAGGAGTAGCCCGTCAGCAAGTCAAGAGAGAAAGACGCCTTGGCTTTGTC